CAGAGGGTACATAGGGAGGTGGGGTAGATCTTGGAGGAGATAGGAGAGAATATGATCAAAAAATACTATATGAAATTCTCAAAGAATGAACTTTAAAAGTATTTAATTTTCTGAGACCAGAGTTAATAGTTTCTTTTTTAAAAATAAAATTTACTCTCTTTTGTTTTATATTTTATTTATTATTTTTATTTTATGTGTATGAGTGTTATGCCCGCATGTAAGTAAGTGCACCCAGGTCATGCAATGCCACAGAGGACAGAAGAAGCTGTTGGATCCCCTGGAACTGGAGTTACAGTTATTAGCTGCCATGTGCTGGGATTCGAACCTGGGTCTTCTGCAAGAACAGTGTTCTTAACTGCTGAGCCATCTCTCCAGCCCCAGAGTTAATAGTTTCTAAATGAAGGGACATGGTCAACACCTTTGATCAGATAAGATTTTAAAGAAAAAGCGAAGAGAGCCAGAAAAATCAATTTGAAGTCCAAGTTATATATAATGTATGGCCTAATTCTACAACAATGAGAACTAAGAAGACAGAAGAGAGTTCAGAAACATTTTCAAGTTGTATTGACAAGTTTTTGGTGCCTGGCTAGATGTGAGTGATGAGAGAACCGTCAAGAGTTGGGTGGGCTCCACCTTGACTGTATAAAGGGACACAATAATATCAGTCAAGGGAAATCAAGATAAAACAGATAGAGAGAAATGACCTAAGCTTGCTGAATTTGGAGTTTTGTAAAACATCTTGGGGAGATATTTGGGGAACAATGGAAAAATAATTACAAAGACTACAGAATGGGAAGACAGAAAATAAGTGGAAAATAAAACCTTTAAAAACATTAATGATGGGAAAAATCATCAATACATAATCAATATATTTATTTAAATAGACAAATGTATAAAAAAGTATAAAGTGGCAAAAAATGTATTTAATAACTACTGTTTCCACACTAGAAGTCCTAGTTGGTTATCAAGGTAACATTTTGCAGATACCATCATATTAAACTTGACTGACATATATTCAACTTCTATAACTAAGACATTCATTTCATCTTCTTAATAACTCTTCTGTAAAAAGAAACTTAAAACATAGGTAGCTTATTAAATTTTCATAAGTTAAGGCCCTTATTTTTATTGTTGAAAGAGTATCAACATTACAATAGATACTGGCTAGCAACAGCAGAACAAACACACAAGAATCTGAACAGCAGGAAAATCATAATGAAATGATTTACTGACATACTAGGAAGAAATACACAATTCCTTCTAGACCAACCCAGAATTTTCTTTCCTCAAATTTGTGACCCTCCTGCCTTGTCACCCTCAGTGCCAGGATTACAGGCATGAGCCATGGCTTAAAATGACTAACTTAAAAGAGATAAAAGACCAATGGGGAGGGAGACTATGGGAGGGTGCTATCTGGGAAGTGGGTATAAAAAAAATTCCCAAGAATCAATAAAAATATTTTAATGCAATAAAAAAAAAGACCAGGTATGTGGTGTACTCACAGCAGTCAGGAGGCTGAAGCAAGATCATAAGTTCAAGGGCAGCCTGGACCACATAGAAAAAGCCTGTCTCAAAGGGGAAAAAAAGTAAACTAGTCATTTTAAATGCTAGCATTTTCTAGGTAAATAAATTTTTCTATTTTAATTAATAATTCAAGGCAACTGTTCAATAAAAATTTACTGAGTTCCTGTTATGTAGAGGATGGTATGTAGGAGCAAAAAATGTGTAAGCCATGGTTGCTACCTTCATAGTTATTCACAATATAACCAGGAAGAGAGAGAGGCTAAATATACACGAAAGGTCTGAGCAAATATAAAACATGGACAAAAATCAGAATTCCTTACCTGTACAATCTTGTGCAACATATATAGTTATTCCTTGTAAATCAGGGTGTCTTGCTTCTTCAATTGCTTTTCTAGGAAAACAATAAACAACATCCTTAAAATCCTAACTAAAATTTCCAGTTGATACCTAAAGACTTAGTTTAAGAAGGAAAAGATATCCATCATTTTCCTAACGTTCCTATGTAACCTCTATGTCTACTGTCAAAAGCTGTCATGTGAATGGTAGCAGAAATCAGGTTAAATTTGCTAAAGTTGAACATTACACTAAATTATCCCAACACTAAATTGTTACAAAGTGTATTTTTAAATTATTCAATATAAAGCCTACTTCCCACCCTAGCTATGCTGACTGTTTCCTAAGCAGTGGTGTTACAGATATTGAAGGTTTGCTTCACATTAAGCTCTATCAGGCACTAAGGACACATTATTGTGCTTGTTCCCAGGAACACTTATGAAAGTTCTTTTTTCTTTGAACAATAGCTTGACTTAACTGCTTTATTCAAAAAACAGTATAAGGGCTTAGGGGTGTAGTCCAGTGGTATGCCTGAGGCCCAGGGTTTGATTGATTCCTAGCACCATAAGCAGGGAATAAACAGGATACGACTACTTGATCTGAACAAATGGATTTCCTAATTTAAAATGTTAGAATTCTGTAAGTAAAACTGCAAATTGAAAAATATTTCCAGATGTATGTGGCGGTCATGTGGCAAAATCCCAATATCTATAAAAGGAAATTATGTAAATGTAGGAGTAAAATATTTTTATTTAACTGTATATTTATAATTATTTAGCTCTAAATGTTCTATTATGCATATTCCTATAGATAGTATAGAAAACAGATTGGCAAACTATGGCCTACCTACAGGCCAAATATGACATGTAGCCTGTTGTTTTATGCTGTAAACTAAGAATGGTTTTGATAGTTTTAAAACACTAAACGAGGAGCTGGAGAAATGGCTCAGTGGTTAGGAGCACTGGCTGCTCTTAGGACCTAGGTTCTGTTCACAGCACCCACATGGTGGCTCACAACCATCCATAACTCCAGTTTTAGATAATTCAACACCCTTTTCTGGCCTCCAAGGGCACTGCATACACCATGAAGCACCAACATACATGCAGGCAAAGCACTCATACAAACAAACAAATAAATAAACAAATACATACATACACACATAAAATATTAAAAGAGAAAAGAAAGAATGGATAACAGAAATTTTGTAAGACCTATAAAGCCTAAAATATTTACTATTTGTCACTACAGAAAAAGTTTACTAAGCTCTGGGACATCCTGAAGGTTAGAAACCATGCTTTTATGATTATGCATTTATAAATGTTTACTTTTACTATAACATGAATAGTCCCATATATTTACCATTCATATGAATTTGATATGTGCAAAGAAACAATGAACTAACAATTTTAGCTCTTGGCATTTCATCAGACACCAGTATATATAGCTTACATCATTTGAAAAACTAATACTGTATATGTCCCATGGTTGAAAGAAAAGTTAGTTTTTAGACCATTTTAACAATATAATCTAATGAAAGCCTAGTTAGAAAGAGACCCTAGATCTATCCCTATAAAAAGGTAAGAAGAAAAATTTGTCAGTAGGTAAATTTAACTATAGTCACAATATCTTGATTTCCCCCATTAGCAAACGAAAGCTCCTTGAAGAACATTCACATACAGTCTTGAAAAGCTTTAATTAGATACTCATTGCCAAAATCTATATTTCTAAGCTTGAAAACCTCTGTCACAAGATGAAAGAGTTGAAAAGAATACCTTAAAATGTGAGCAACCACCGCTGGTCCATACCAATCTCCAGCTTTTTTCCCAGACTTCTTTCCATACTCTATTAGTTGATGTAAGCCAAAGAAAGCCAATGGGGAATCACCAAACCAAGAGATGATTTTCCTATGATAGATTTCATTTTGTATTTCACGATCATCAGAATATTTCCCAATTGTCTCCTTCAGAGAAATTGCTGGAGTTTTGAATTCTCTTTCCCCTGAAAGTGATGCTTCAAATGATGCAGTAAATTTCTTTACAGTGTTGGAAGTCCATGATTCAGAATCTGAATTTTCAATATTCAATGCATCAGGCCAGGTCCAATCTATAGTTACAAAGTAAGATATTCAGATCTTTCAAATAGACAGGCCTTAACAACTGTACTAAAATAAACATGCAGCATTGAAAGTCAAATGGGTTACTGAAGTAAAACAGAAAACTCAGGACCATATAGAGACAGAAAGTAGTATAACAGTTGCTAATAGAGAGATACTTGGAATGGCTGCCCATGGGTATAGGGATTTTCTGTGCAGTAATAAAAATATTCTAAAATTTGACTGTGGTGCCTATGGCTACAGAACTCAAAGAATAGTAAGAATCACTGAATTGTACACTTTAAATGAGTGAATGTATGGCACATAAGCATGGTGGTACACACCTACAATTCTAGCACTGTGAGTTCCAGGTCAGCCTAGGCTACATAGGGAGAGCCTACCTCAAGAAAAATGAAAGCAGTGAGACTGGTGTAGGGTGGGAGGTTAGTAATAGCTCAGTATAAAGTGCTTTGGTAACATACTCAAAGCCCTGGTTTGATCCCCAAACATTAAAGAAAAGAGAAAAAAGGAAGAAGGAATGAGGAAGAAGAAGGAAGGAGGAAGAGGCAGAAGCAACAACAAGAACAGTCAGACCTAGGGGCAAACACCCAGAATCCCAGGACTCAGGAAGCCCAGGCAGCGAGAGCAGGCGTGAACTAGACTACACAGCAAGATGTTCTTTCAAAATACAAAAATAAGGAGCTGGAGAGATGGTTCAGTGGTTAAAAGCACCTACATCATGCAGGGAAAACACTCATACAAACAACAAACAAATACATAGATACATACATACATACAAACAATATTAAAAGAAAAAAAAAGAATGGGTAACAGAAACTTGCGTTTGATTCCAAGCACCCGCGTGGCAACAAACAACCATCTGTAACTCCAGTTCCAGGGATCTGATGCCCTCTTCTGACCTCCACAGGCATTACATGACATGGGTGCACTTAGATACATGCAGGCAATACACTCATACACATAAAATAAAAATAATAATAAAATATTTTTTAAAAAATAGAAGTCTGAACAAAAAAATATGTTAACATCAATGATGTATTTAAATCTGAACAATAATATTATTCTTAGGACTTTTCAGTAGTTCCCAAATTTTCTAAACTGGAAATATACTGCATGTAATCAGGGAAAATTAACAAAAACAAAATGCAAAAGAAACAAAAACTACTATAATCAAGTACAAAATAGACAATATTTCTTTCTTTTTTTAAAAAATATGGAACACTTCACGAATTTCTGTGTCATCCTTGTGCAGGAGCCATGGTAATCTTCCCTGTATTGTTCTAATTTTAGTATATGTGCCGCCAAAGGAAGCACCAAAATAGACAATTTTTCAATATGGTTTTCTTTTCTTTTTTGGCAGTAATCACTTGAAATAAAGACTTCTGTATTCCATTACCAGACTGTCAGACAACACAGTCTTGGCTATTCAAAGACACAAAAAACCTTTTCTCTTGTATTATTCACACTATTCTCAAACATTCCTGATAGACAACTTCATCAATAATCTCTACAAAAAAGTTACTGGATATTGTCTAACACTTTAAAGAAGTCTGATAATATTTAATAACAATTAGAGATGATGGCTTAAAATGATAAAAATGAAATCCTCATAAATTTTTACATTTTTAAAAAATTAATAGAAAAACGATATTAGAAAGAAGATATATGCAACTTAAGTGTTGATGAGATTTCTTTTTCTGTAAAAAAGTCTAAGTAAAATAACTTTATCAAGAATATGCTTAGGAACTGGAGAGATGGCTAAGCGGTTAAGAGCACTGACTGCTCCTGCAGAGAACCTGGGTTCAGTTCCCAGAACCCACAAAGTGGCTAGCAACCATCCTTAACTCCATTTTGAGAGGATGTGATACCCTCCTCTAAGCCTCCACAGACATTGCATTCACAACGTACACATACATATATGCAGGCAAAAGGCATAGACACATAAAATAAAAATAAATTTTTTGAATCTTAAAAAAAAAAAGAATTTGCTTCTGCTGGGCATGGTAGTACACACCTTTAATATCAGCACTAGAGAGGCACTGGCAGGTAGATCTCTGTGAGTTTGAGGCCAGTCTGGTCTGCATAGCAAGATTTAGGCCAGTCAGGTCTACACAATGAGACCCTGTGTCAGAAAACTTTAAAAAAAAAAAAAAAAGCCTAAATGACTATTCTTGTAGAAGACCTGGATTTGAATCCCAGCACCCACATGGCAGCTAACAGCTATCCATAACTCCAGTTCCAGGGGATCTGACAGCCTCT